ACCACAAGTCTGGAGTCTCCAGCATGACCATCCCCCAGATGGTGTACATCTCACTCATTATATACGTATATACCTGCCCCTCCACCTGCCAATACCCTATTACTGTAGTATTATGTGTCACTTAGGTGCTGCTCAGTTAATACCAATTTGCTGGTGAGTATATGTGGTGCTTGTTTTTCCATTCTTGGGAAACTTCACTTAATAGTATGGGTTCCAGCTCTAACCAGGAAAATATAAGATGTGCTATGTCACCGTTGTTTCTTAGAGCTGAATAGTACTCCATGGTATACATACACTTAATCCATTGGATAACCCCTTTGCCGCTTGCTTCGTTCACTGCAAGAGTGTATTTAAATTGCCGATTGTCGTTGGTACTGGTTGAATGGGGACATTTCGCGCGCGCGCTCTCTCCCACGCTAGGGGTGCTCAGATGCTTATTGAAGAGCCATGTTGTGTCCTGGCTGTGGTATCAGGAACTATACATCTTTAGGAGGCTGTTCACTATATCCCTTCTGTGCCCTAGTCAATGCAAGACCTCGGTGCATGGGATCTGGTCTGCAGGTCTGACCTCTGGGTCCCAGAGTTCAAACTGTATCCCCACCAGGGAGAGGAGTTCTGATCCTAATTCACCTGCAGGCAGCCCAAGCTGGGTCTATGTCTCTCAGCCTCTGAGTCTGCATCGTTCTCCTGGGATCACTGTGCCAGCAGCACCTGGGAGGGCTGGCGGGTAGGGAGCTCACAGTCTGAGTTCCCCTTAGTCATCTGTAGGGTCCCAAAAGGGAAGGTCCCATTCACTGGAGGTGCCTCTGTCTGGTGGCTATATTGTCTCTTTGGGCAGCCGCAGGTAGGGTAGTTGGAGGGGAGAAGGAGGCAATATGGCGCCTGCCACACTGCTCGGGTCTGTGCACACGGAGGTGCCCTGAGGGATCTGGGAGCCTGGTGCTGCGTCCGCTACAGGCCCACCGCTAGCTGGCGGCAGCCGTCTTTGGGCTGGTGTCCACAGGTCTCTCCACCCACTGGGGAGCCCACCAGCAGTCCCAGATGTGGGGGAGGGGAAACGGCAAATTCACCTACCCTTCCCACTGGTCTCTGGGCTGCTCCAGTGGTCTCAGCTTCCAGCTCTCCTCCGTGACCTCCTCCCGTGGAGTCTCCCGGGGTCTCAAGTACCCCTCCTTCTGGCCCTCGTCTGCTGTATCTCGTCTTCTTGCTTCTTTTTTCCAATTTCTGCTAGAATCTGTCTTTTCTGCAGGGACACTTTGTCTGGCGGTATTTCTCGTCCACCATCTTGATCCTCCCCCCCTTCTCTTCTTTTAAGATAATCAGCCAACCTTCAGCTATGATACTTTCCAGTATGACCTCATGAACTCAGGACCAAAATAAGTCATTTATCAGAACCAAAACTTGTACTTGGATTCAAATAGGCAGAAAGAACTGAGAGCTGTACCTCTCATAAAATATCAATAACAAATACTTTATAATATTCTTCCCATTCTCCTAGTCACATATAGTTTAAGATGGTCAATAATGGGTATCATTTATTGAGTGTCCACTATGTACCAGGTATGCTACATGTATTGACTCATTTAATCTTTACTGTAACCCTATGAGGAAGGTGCTATTATTAGGAGAACTGCACCTTTTAAACAAATAACCACAGTCAATACTTTTGAATGAAACTACACATTATTCAAGACTGTTTGTAAGGAAGTTTGAGATAGTTAAAAATAGCTAACATTTATTGGATGCTTACTACATACCTGATGTTTTCATGAACTCTCCATTGGGTTTTTATAGGAACCTATGAGTCAGGTGTTACTGTGATGTTTATCTTATAGTTAAGGAAATAGAGGAGAGAAAGTGACTTCATGATAGGTGACTCATCGATAAAAGAGCCAAAAATCAAACCCAGGCTCTGGGTTTGATAGGACTCTGGTCCTATCAATAGGACTCTGCTACCTTTCTGAGTAGGAATGGCATTAGGAATATACATGACCTTCAGTGTGGATGTCTGGCCTGGCTTTAAAAGCAATGTACTTCTTATTTAAATCTTTCTCCACAACACCCTTCCCAACACACATACTTCCTTCATGCTATAAGCAGTATGCTATGGTTTGAATGTGTACCCCCAAAGTTCATGTGTTGAAAGCTTGTTGTAGGGTTAAGATGCAAGGCAATTGAGTCATGATTATTGTCATTATCGAATGAATGAATTAGTGACAAGTTTTGTTCTCTTCTTCTCTCTGTCTCATGGGCTCACTTACACTTCTGCTCTTCCACCACAGGATGACCCTCCCCAGGTGCCAGTGCCATGCTCTTGGACTTCCCAGCCTCCAGAAGCATGAGCTGAATAATATTCTTTTCTTTATAAATTACCCTGTCTGTGGTATTCTATTATAGCAACAGAAAACAAAGACACAGTGTCTTTTCACATTGGTGGTAGATACTTTTAGCAGTATATTATTGAAGTCTGTGATCTAGACTCATATATCCAGATGCCAACAAGTCAGGAGATGAATTTGGAATCAAATGCAATTCTTCTAATTGTAGTCAAATTCAATGTTATCCCCTTGAAAACCACTCCTAAACCACACATTATTCAGCTGAATTTAAAGGGTTAAAGAAAGTCTGTCAAATTTAAGGAGGATTCTATTGATCTCCACCTCTAGATTCTTTGGCACTAAAACATTTTGAACATTTCTACCTCATTGGAATGACATAATTTACACCCTTCATTCTGGGGTTGTCTTAACTGAGCCACACAGTAGTGTTCTTATGTAGACAGAGCTACTGGAGTTTAGAAACAGGAAGGGCTAGAAACTCACTTTTTGAAGTAAAATAAAGCTTACCCAGTAGGGGATTTCCTTAACTCTTCAAACCTTGACACGTGTTAGGTAGTCAGGAAAGAATAATAAAATTCTCCAGGAAAAGAGGTTCACAAATGGGCAGTGGTTAAAATGTGGTTTTCTAGGTAGCTGTCACCTCCTGCAGGGCTGGTTTCAGGTTGCTCCTGCAGAGACAGATCTACAGCATCCTGCAGGAAAGCTGGGCCTTCCAGAACCACCCAAGGATAGCTAAGAGGCTGCCTAGTCCACAGCTGAGGCTCCTTCTGAGAGAGTGTCTGTGTCACACAAGAGCTAGGCCAGCTTCCAACGGCTGCTCTCTTGATTGCTCAGGAAACAGTGCCAGCTTCAATTCAGTGCTGACAACTCAGCCAGCAGCACCCAAAGGAGGAAGGGAAGGAGGGAGGTGCATGTTCAATGGAAAGCAAACAGCAGGAGCCACAACAGAGATCTGGGCTTCTAGCAGGTAGCTCACGTAAGAAAGGACAAGATCAGTAGAGTTGAAGACAAAAGAACTTACTGCTGGAGGACAAAGGGGGTTTCTGGAGGGTCCTTCAAAAAAGTAGCTGCGTAGTGTAGAGTTGTCGAGAAATTTGATTTTGCCCTGAGGGCCTTGAGGAGTGAAGAGGAGTTTGGGAGGTTCTGGTCATGGGGCCCAGAGGAGAGAGACAAGTTTAATTTATAGGTTCACACCTGTAGCCTGTGGTAGCCAAATAATTGCTGAGGAGGAAGCATGAGAATTAAAAGATCCAGATATTAATAGTAACACCCTCATCTGTCATATTAATATATTACCTTACAGGACAGTCAGTTCTGCTTCTACATGATATATACATTCCTAAAACTCACTGCACCATGCAAAATCACGCAATAAAACCCACAGGGCATAGAGGAGAGGGGTCAGGGTACAGTACCCAAACACTTTGTCAGTAACATGAAAAAAAGTTAGAAACCTAATGAAAATGGTAGCACAGTGCCATGCATGTTAAATAATTATGAAATACATAAATACTACAAAAAATATGGCACTTTAGCTTTTAAAAAGACCTGAATGAAATTTGCTTGTGGAAGTGGGCGCTGGGTGGGTTGCAGCTTGTGTTCTGATAAAGTGACCAAGGAAAGTTATTGAAATTATTGGTCTTTTGCTGCCTTAAAATCCCAAAGCTTGTTTTTCTGTCTTTGAAATTTAGGCCCTTTGAAGTGTGCATTTATCATAGATATCTGCTTCATCAAGCTGAAAATTTGAAAATGTATCCTTTTCTTCTTAGGTTAACTTCAGTGTCCCTACTGGAAATTCACAGCTTTCTCATTGCACCTGGGGCTTCACCCAACGGCTGAAGTCTTTGGAAATTGCAGGGATATGTGAAACCACCAAGCTGGCCACTCCTCATGCAAAAGGTGCCACTTCTGCAGAATTTGGCGATTTCCATTAAGGTCTTTGTATACAGATAGAGCTTTCCTTTGTGAGACAGGCTGTCTCTTTCCTCCGACATTTTTCATTGTTTGGGTTTTAGTCTCAACAATTCTCATTGTTCCATCTCTTCTATTTCTTCAGGTCTTATTCTTATTGATGTCTCAACACTTGAACTTATTCCATCTATAGATGTTTCTTTTACGTTCATGCCCTGTTGCTTGGGAGATATCACATGTTCTCTTGATTCTCTCAAAATGATTTTTTTTTTTTTTTACTTCAAGCTTCTCCTCAGTACATAAGGCTTTCATTGTCCATGCCCTGCTTGGTGTTTTTGAGTCAGAATGCTTAGATATGTTTGAGATGTTGAATGAACATTTTTTAAATATAGAAGTTCACAAATGTGAAAGAACACCAAAACATAAACTTGTAGGATAACACACTTGGCTAGGATAAGTAGGCTAGTTAGGATAACACATCTCCCAGGCTAAGGGGCAGATGCATGAGGTATGTGCATGTGTGTATTTATTTGTGAATCCCGGTAAAGCTCAGTTCAGCTGGGTGCACTTTTCTATGTTAATCTAGTTTTTCGCACAGAAGAAATTGCCTGTGATAAACTTGAATTATCTCAAATCATCCCCTCATACATTAATCAGTTGGAATAAATCCACATTTTTAAAACAAGTGGTATAGCCAACTATATATGGTACCCTCTATTCACATATTTTTTTCAGTTGATCATGATAATAGTTCTGGAAGGTAGATAGGAAAGTTAATATTCTTATTATACAGATGAAAAAAGTTGAAGCTGAGGAATGTCCACAGCTTGGACATGAGCCTGGAACTACTTATCGACTCATACGATAGGAGTTCTGACTGTGTTTCAGTTCCTGGTCCTATTAGCTCATAAAGCCAGTTCTACCCCAATTTTCTGCAAGTTTGGCTTTATGAGCTGGGAAATTTTCTCCTTTTGCTTAGAGTAGTTTGAGGTAGGTTTTTTGAGTAATGCAGAGTCTCAGGGAAGGCAGGGTTGCCTGAGTAATGCTCAAATGCCCTCTCAGTTCCGACTTTCTGCCATGTTTTAACTTATGAATTAACCATGTTCAGGTAATAAGCAACCTAAATTTCCAGGTCTGTCCGTGAAATAGGAGGTTCTGCCTGTGCTATGCTGTGCTGCAGGCACAGGAAAAAGGAAAGTTGTTCCTTCATCCCCTGGTGCTGGCCAAGGATGTCCCCAGGCAGAGCAGCTAGGATCTTTCTTTTGTAGGGACTCAGGCTCAATTTGTACCCATTTAGACAGTGCCCTTTCTGAAGACAGTGACTCTTCACTGTCCCTGTCATGGCCATTGTGGTTGTGTCTCCAGCCTTGCTCACCCGGAGAGCAGATGCTCTGGGTGTAGCCGAGTGTTCTCTTTCCCCTGGTCAGGTGGTGTCCCAACAGCTGCCAGTCAAACCCAAGGTGAGTGATAGGAAGGGATTCCAACATTGGGCTCAGGCATCACCGCTGCTGCTGCTGTTCAGAGGGCACCTCGGAGAAGCACTTCACGTGTTCACTCATTTGTTCCACCAGTATTTGTTGAGGGCCCATCAAATGCCAGGATCATTCCTTCTTGTGTGGGTTATTTGTTTTGCTTCCTATAATTTGAACACCCAAACAGACTGGCTCTAAGCCCACACACTCAACCCTGTCCTGTTCCACTTCTCTCATGCAAGGTTGCTAGAAGTTCAGTCTGCTCCGATCATTTTTCTACCTACTGGAGACCTGAAAATCTTGTCAGTGACCTTCACATGACCTGGATAACAATTTCTCAACTTGTCACTGCCTGTTAAGTGTGGATACAGACTTAGTTCCCTTCCATTTTGGCAGCACATGTATAAGTGTCACCTTTGTGTATGTTTTGATGAACTATTCCCCCCTCCCCCCTGCTTTCTTTCTTATTTTCAAATTCATGTACTGGGACCTGCTCTACAAACTTGAGTGGAAAAGAGAAAGAACAAAGAAAGCAGAGCAATCTAAATGCTGAAAGATCTTTTTTTTTAAAAAAAAAAAAAAAAAAGGGAATAAGGAACTTCATGAATGAGGCCTTTGAACTCAGCAGCATGGCTCCTTCCTAACCTGTACCTTTCATATCCTGTTTCCAGCTAGCGTGGAAAATCTGAGGTGCCCTGGCCCTGAGCCCACCGTGAAGCCTGGCTGTGGGTTGCGTCTCCCAGTCTTCAACTGGCAGCCGCAGCTGCTGGAGAGGCGGCACAGCCCCGTGCTTCCTGCCTGGGTGCTCAAGTCCATTGCGACAGCCCTGGAGCCTCGCTGGGAAGGGCAGCGAGCCTTCACCTGATGTGGCCAAGGGCGGCCACAACAAAGAGAGGCAAGGAGAAATTCCTGCAGCCAATGGGCATGTGGCTGGGGAGGAAGGCGGTGTCTCCGGGTGTCAGTTTTAAAACTTTCTGCCTTAACTAAAACCCAGGTTCTCAGCATAGGGGATATGACTCATGGCTGAGAAATTCCCCATGGCCTTGGATGACATTTACGTTGATTACTTCTGAGTCACATTTCTGGGAGGATTTTTTTTTTTCTTCACCAGAGGCAAATGGAAGGGAAAATGGCATGGATAGTGGTTTGGAAACAGCAGAGGAAATGGGGTCACTTGTGTTATTAGTAGGAGAGTTAAAGACATACAAGATGAGAAAGAAAAACAAGGCAAAAAAGAAAGAACAGTAAGGAGGTAGGAATCATCTCCAAGGGGAATGGGGAGACTTGGAGTCTCAGGATTTGTAGTTTCACGACACTGGTGATGGGTGCAGCCCAGGTGGACTTTGCCCTTTTGCCTCTTGTTGTGATTACAGAAATCCAGAACCTAAGAGTCGAAGCCATCATTCATTCATGCATTTATTTCACAAATATTTGTTAAGCACCTTTGATGTTCCCAATCCTGTTCTAGGAAGCAGAAATACGATGAGAAACAATGTAAAATTATGCCCTGGTGGGGTATGTCTCAGCCAAAGCCCATTATTAACATGAATTATATTTCTTTATCATTTAAAAATGAATGACCTTATTATAGACATGATATTAGAATATAAGGAAGCCAAAACAGAAATATTCCCAATCCCATCCTGAAATCAAATCATGAAAAGTAGTCATGCCATACATGAAACACGAAATTCTGCCCATGATGTCATTGTGAATACCAAACATACAGGTGGGCATGTCCTGAAGGTGACCAGTGAATCCACCTGGTTGCTCAGGCTCAGGCCCACCATTCTAGCCTCTGTCAAGTTTTCGGTGACTTTTCAAGATGCTGTGGCCTAGATACCACACAAGAAGGAGACCCAAAGCTCAGCCAAAACCCTACCTATTACTGTATTCCTTTCCCTCCAGCAAGTCTAGCCCTTTGAAACATTTCCAGGGGTCTCCTTGGGAGGCAGATCTGCTACATTGTATCATGGCCCCTTGATCTTGATGGCGGTGAATGAATCAAGTGTATGCATTTGCCATCAAACAAATGGAGCTTCATCTCTGGTTGTTTGTACATGTGTACGCTTTTGCATTTCAATGATTTCTTCCTTCCTTCACCAACCTGCTAAACGCAACATTTACAACCAGCCTTGCAGGCATTATTTGTACCCGACTGGGGCCTGATCATATCAAATGAAGGCTGCCAGCTTCCCCTGCCAGAAGCCAAAGGCACTGGGAAAAATGGAAATTGGACAATAGTCTTGTATACTCTCTGCTCTGCCATGGATGGCCTTCAGCAGGAAACCAACCAAGGGAATCAAAAGAACACAGTTTCCTGTTAACATAGAACGATGCCAAATCCACCAGACATTATTGTTTCATGCCCTGTGCCAGTCATTGTCAACCATAGCGTAAGTAATAACATATGACTGGGGTTGTGGTTATAGTGGAATATTCTTCTGCTTTTGGCACGGTGCGTACACCTTCACACGCTTTATTGCCCTTTCCGAAACCTAGGGAGCTTTCTTTTCTTTTCCCCCAAAGAACTATTTCTGGCTGTTTTGCTGCATACCAGTTCTTAAACCCAAGCCAGCCGACTCCCAATTCTCCCCAGTCTTTGCTTAAGCAACACTATATATACACACACACACACACACACACACACACACACACACATACATACATTATTGCATCACATAGGGTTAAAATAAACCCACCATGTATTGCCCTTCAACAATCCTGCTTTTCCTCTGAAAATGACTAGTTCCTTAAGACTGGCTTTGAGAGAGAAAAACTTTCTCACATAATATTTTTTCTTCCTTTCCAGGCTGATCTTGAAGGTGATGATAGGTCATAAAGCCCCAGCCTCTGCAAGGATGTTACACGCCCTGGAGCAGGCGGGAAGTACATGTGTGTTTGGAAGGCAGCAAAAGAGAAAAGTTCCTAGTGTGCTCTGGGCCTTGCATTTTTAACCCTTTATCCAAACCCAGAGAAAACACAACTCTATTAACTACTCAGAAGTTTTTGCCTAAAATGGCATGGTTAAGGTAGGAGTGTGAACAGTCACCTCAATCAATCTTTTCTTTTCTTTCTTCTCTCTCTCTCTCTCTCTCTCTCTCCTTCTTTCTTTCTTTTTTCAGACAGTTTGGCTTAGTGGTTAAGAGCTTTGGTACCAGACAAAAATGGTTCAAATCCTAACTCCCTCTTTTAATAGCTGAGTGAATCTGGGAAGGTTGATAAGCTTTCTGATGCCCATATTCCTCTTCTGTAAACCAGAGAAAACACTTGCTTTTCAGAACATGACTGAAGTACTGGAAGTTTCCTCCCTGCTCTGTCGTGGAGGCCTTTGGTGTGTAGGAAGTGTACCTGGTGAGTGATCAGTAAGTGGCAGAATGATTGTTAGGAAAGTGCTTTGGAAAGCTCTGGGTGCCTGCTCCAAGCGGTTTGGGGAGTAGCAGTAGGAAGTACTGAGTTCAGGGGCATGGAGGAGGTGGGGCTATGGGTACCACAGCCTTTTCATGATATTTGCATGCATTATCTCAATTGCTATGAGATTTCTGAACATGAGAAATTGGGCAGTCATTATCACTCCCATTCCAGATAAAGAAATGGAGGCCCTTGCACAGTGCTAGAATTGGCAGAGCCATGACTGGACTCCAGAGCTCCGGAGTCCTCGCTAAGGCTCCATCTGTACATCACATTCCCTCTCAAAGCTGAATTCATTTGTTCTTGGCCTGGCGTTAGTTCCCCAAGGCCCCTCCCTTCCCTGTCCTTTCCAAGACAGGCAGAGCTCCCTGCCTTTTACACACACACACCTAAACACACACTCCACATACTTCTGGGCTTGTGCTGCCTCTTGTGACCACCTAGGACAGTGATGCTCAGACTGTGACAGGACCTAAGCCACCAGGTGATCTGACTGACTTGTATCAAACTTTCTTCCCTACAAGCCCATCCCTGCTCTCTTTCTCCAGAAAGCTTTTCTGAAATACTTATTACCTGGAAGAGCTTCTAGACTAATGTATCATCGTTGTAGTTGAGCTCATTTGTTACTTGAAAACAGGAACAAGGAGAACAGCACTGTGAAGGATGGGCTGCTTGGGTTGGGTTGGATATTAGGTCAGGTTCCCAGGGAAGCCCACTCTGAAAATTGCATGGAGGAAGTTTATTGCAAAAGGCCCTCAGGATCAACACCTGGGAGTGGGGGTGGGGAAGCAGGACTGGGTCGAGGGAGGATTAAACAGTAATGAGCAATGTAATCGCAACCAAGACACAGCTAATCCCACAGGAAGCTCCAGGGATAGCATAGTTCTTCAGAGTCACCCTGACCAAGAGAAGGGCCAGGCCTTTATACCTCTGCATGGACCTGTCATTGAGTACAGCCTGTTGCCAGGGCATGTTGCCGCAGACTAGCTGTAGTCCAAGGGTAGTTCCTGGAAAGGGACCCAGCTGAGGGCCTTCACCCACCATAGCCTTAGAGGAGAATCTGGGTGGAGTGCCAGAGTAGCTACTCTAGGGAGGAAGGCAAGGATGAAACCCTGGGAGCCGGGGGCAGTAAGTTATCTGGGAGGTGGATGCCTGGGGCTTTTAAGACTTGGACGAAAAAGTATTGAGTAAAGGATGGTTCTCCTTAGCTTGCGACTAAAACAACAGAAAACTCCTTGGGATAGCTGAAAAAGGGTGGAGACTTCCTGCTATGCCCACTTCCACTCTCATTAGAACTTGGCTGTGCATGTGACCTTGGCACATGGTGTCAAAGTGCTGGACAGTATTTCTCAAAGCTTGCTCTGTGAACCTGATATGTCAAAATTACTCTGGGGAAAGGGGATTTAAAAATGTAAATTCATGGGCTCCAAATATAGTAAAAGAGAATCTCTGGGATGAGACCAGGAAGCTGCATTATAAACATCTTCCTGCCCCCTCCCATTTGATTCTTTTGCACTTTTAGGCTAGAGCCTATAAACATCTCTGCCACAACTGTCTCTAGAATTGGCAGGATCTTCAGGGCCAAGAACAAATATTTTGCTTATATTTGCATAGCTGAGTTACATCATCATCTTGTGGAGTTTTTCAAATCACTCTTTTAGCAAGCTCAAATTGTAGTGGCTGTGTAGCTCATACGGATTGCCCTAGTAACTACAGCTGTTCTACCTGCTCTTCTTTGAATCAAACCTCCTCCCCTCCTCTTCTCCACTCAATCTTGACCCAGCCCTTCTGCTTACAGGGCTTCACCTCTCTGGCCACAGTGATTGGTTGAGGATGGGCATCTGACAAAAGCTGGGCCAATGATAATGCCCTACCTCTGTTGCAGTGATTGATACAGAGCCGTGTTGACCATTCAGCTAGGCCAATCAGAATTCTGCCCCTAGAATTTTTTTCCTCCCAAACTAAAGCTGGTAGGGAGAAAGTGGAAGAGCCTTTCTTCTCTGGTCCTGAGGCCGTGAGTGTGATTCTGACACTTCCAGTAGCCATAGCCAGGGGCATGGAGAAAGTAAGTTTGGGAGAGTAAAGCAGACACCAACTATGAAGAGAGGAGATGAGAGACTGAGTGTGCATCCTGCCAGTGTTCCAGGCCTCAAGTCAAGTCACCTCTGGTTTTGTATGGTTTGGTAATGTTAGCCAATAACCAATGTGTTAGTAATGGATTTCCTGGTTCTCAGAAGACGGTATTAAGCCTCTGAGGCTAGTGCATTAGGATGTGCTCATGTGTAAATGTGGAATTATCAGACACATGGCTACACATGGCTATGGGGGGAGTGGGTGTGGGGAGGGATGGAAATGGAAAATAGGTGATGGAAAGGTTTCCATCTTCCTCCCCTTCCCCATGGGTATGCAGTAACAACTAATCACTCTGTGTGTGTTTGTGTGTGTGTGTGCATATATGGTGTTTGTATACCTTT